GGGAGCGACGAGTCCCTCCCAACACCGCCCGCGCGGCCGCATTCTGGACCAGTTGGAGCCTCCGGGTGCTCCTCAAGGGGAGCCCCATGTAGAGAGCATTACAGTAGTCCAGGCGGGAGGTGACGAGGGCATGGGTGACTGTGCGCAAGGTGTCCCGGTCCAGAAAAGGTCGCAACTGGTGTATCAGGCGTACCTGATAGAACGCCCCCCTGGTCACGGCCGACAACTGGTCTTCCAGTGCCAGCCGTGAATCCAGGAGGACCCCCAGATTGCGTACCCCTCACTAATCAGCATACATTAAAATGAAACTGTGTTGCATTCAACTCTCAAAAAATACCATTATGCATATATCCACATATCACACACATATATGACATAGAGAAACATCATAATCTAGAACAGAATAGAGCTGGAAGGGACCTTGGAGGTCTTCTAGTCCAGGCCCCTGCACCTACATCATCTCAGACAGGTGAATGTCTAGTCTGTTCTTAAAAATCTCCAGTGATGGAGCACCCACGATTTCTGGGGGTAAGCTGTTCCACTGGTTGATTGTCCTCACTGTCAGGAAGTTTCTCCTCAATTCCAGGTTGTATCTTTCTTTGATCAGTTTCCAACCATTGTTTCTCGTCCTTCCCTCTGGTGCTTTGGTGACAACCTGCCCCCCTCTGCCTTGTGACAGCCCCTCAGATACTGGAGCACTGGTATCATCTCCCCTATTTCTTCTTTTCTTTAGACTAGCCAAACCCAAGTCCCGCAGCCGTTCTTCCTATGTTTTAGTCTCCGGGCCTTGGATCTTCTTAGTTGCTCTTCTCTGAATTTTTTTCCCCAAACTCTCTACATCTTTTTTGTGATATGGTGACCAAAAGTGGCTGCAATATTCCAGGTGTGGCCTCACTAGGGTTTTGTAAAGCGGTACTAACACTTCGCGTGATCTTGATTCTACAACTCAGGATTGTATTAGCTTTTTTTTTTTGTTGCTGCTGCACTAGTTCGAATGTATTGCAAGAGAGGCTGGATGCTGACCCGGGATGGTTGATTTTGTTTTTGTTTTTAAGGAGAAGACCGTGCACTCTGTTCTTCCTGCCAGGCTAACTTTTCACAGGCACGGAGTATCTAACAGGGAGAAGATACTGTAGACGTTTAAATAAAACTATGCGCAAAGTGAAGTTTCTCCGCTCATCCCTTCCCCAAGAATATCGCCTCGTGCGTTGAAAACTGGCAAGAGACTCCAGACGGTAAAAGACTCTTTCGACATAAAGCCAAGATGATGTTTATGCTTTATCACATTCCATGTTCAAGGGCAGTGTGTCACCCGACCACGAAGTTCTAAAGAAATGTTACTGTTCAAGCAGCTATTCAAAACATCACCACATCCAAACCAGTCTTCCGTCAGACTGAGTTGAGGTCAGGCTGTCTGCTAATGGCTGCAGCCCTTCCTCTCTTCCCCAAACACTACGCTCTCCCCACAAATCTAGGGGGATACTGAGGATTAAGAGGACTTAAATGTCAAAAGGAATCTGATGAACAGGGAGGCTGGACCGCCCTCTTGCCTACAGACTTTGACAAAGGTTGAAGTCCTCTGCTTTCTTTGCTTTGGCTTAACTGTCTGCTTCATAAATGTGGCTAAAGGCTTACCGCAGTGTTTTTTCAAGCTTAGGGATTTTACGATGTGTGGACTTCAATGCCCGCTGGCTAGGGAATTCTGGGAGTCGAAGTCCACTCATCACAGACTTCCTAAAGCGCAGAAACCCTGGCTTGGAGCAAAAGAAAGGGCAAACGGCAGTACTCCAGAGGTTGCTGAACTACAACTGCTGGCGTCTCTGGGCATTACTCGGTATTCCTAAGGATGCTGGGAGCTGTAGTTCACAGGTCAGGAAAAGGCTTTCCTGGGCAATGGGGACCCACCCCACAATGGGGACCCACCCCACAATGGGGACCCACCCCACAATGGCTTAGTTTCAGCGTGGATGACTTTTTTGCTCTACGCACGGTCACTCAAGCCCTCGTTGTTTCCCGCCTGGACTATTGCAACGCTCTCTACATGGGGCTCCCCTTGAGGTGCACCTGGAGGCTCCAGCTAGTTCAGAATGCGGCTGCGCGGGGGATTTTGGGGGCCTCTAGATACTCCCATGTAACACCTCTCCTGCGCGAGCTGCACTGGCTGCCTGTGGCCTTCCGGGTGCACTTCAAGGTGTTAGTAACAACCTTTAAAGCGCTCCGTGGCAATGGACCTAGGTATTTGCAAGACCGCCTCCTACCAAATACCTCCCTTCGACCAGTCCGCTCCCACAGAGAGGGCCTCCTTAGGGTGCCGGTGCCGTCGGCCAGTCAATGCCGGCTGGCGACCCCCACGGGGAGAGCCTTCTCTGTGGCAGCTCCTGCCCTCTGGAATGACCTACCCCCCCCCCGACCTACGTACAGTTGCGGACCTGCGCCTCTTTCGCCGAGCCTTGAAAACCCATCTATTCCATGCGGCCGGCCTGGCGTAGTTTTGATTGTGTTTTGGTAGGGTTTTTTATAGGGGGTATTTTAGAGCAGGCTTTTTATTTCATATTTATTGTGATTTTTATTATCGCCTGTTCACCGCCCTGAGTCCCGTAAGGGAGATAGGGCGGTATATAAATTTAAATAATAATAATAATAATAATAATAATAATAATAATAATAATAATAATAATAATAATAATAATAATAATAATAATAATAATAATAATAATAATAATAATCTGGGTAGAGCAGGGGTCTCCAAACTCGGCCGCTTGTAAGACTTGCGGACTTCAACTCCCAGAATTGAAGTCCACAAGTCTTAAAGCGGCCAAGTTGGAAGACCCCTGGGGTAGAGGAAACAAACAAAAAAAAACCAAACCAAACCCCCCAAAAGCCCCTGACTATAAGCCTCCCCCTTGAGTCCTTTTCGAGGGGGGGGGCTTTTTGACGCTCTGCCAGGTCAACCCCTCCCTCCCCCTTTGGCCCTTCCCCGCCGTACCCCTCTCAAGGCTTCCTTGGCGGCGGTCAGCTGCCCCTTGAGGCTTTTCCTGCGGAACGCCTGCATGTTTTCAAAGTACTCTTCCTCCTCCTGCTGATCGTGGGCGAAGAGCGACTCCAGGAGCGTCTTCCGTCCGCAGACTTCCAAGGCCCAGCCGAAGTAGGCTTCCAAGCGCCGGCACAGGCTCTCCAGCTCGCTCTCCCCCAAGACCGGGCAGCTGGGGAACAGCAGCGCCCAAAAGCCGCTGGGCCCGGTCAGCGCAGGGGGCAAGGGCGGGAAGCAGGGCTCCAGCTGTTGGCTCAAAGCCGCCAGCTGCCGATGGACGCCCACCAAGGCCTGCGGGGAGTACAAGCCGGCCCAGCTCAGCCGCTGCTCGTCCACGGCCTCCTCCTCCTCCTCTTCTTCTTCTTCTTCTT